GCTATTTCTGGAGAAAAACATAGAGACTTTTTTGCAGTATACCATGTGAAGATTGCTGCCTTCAATTCAGACTGAAAGCACAATGCAAACTATATATGTGTTCAAATTTGACCTACTACTGTACTATGGTAAATTTTCCAACTGCTTTAGAAACTGTTTTTTGGAAAGACGGTTTGACTCATTTGCTTGTATCATACTAAAGAGGAACATTTGTGTTAGTACAGTACCAGAGCACTGCTGTAGGATTAGCTTGGAAGAACAATCTGCTTTTATGGAATTCTTACAACAGCTTCTTGAAGCTCTCCATTTTGCTCAATAGATGCAGTGGACCTTTTTTTCAGCTCAGCCAGAAAGCTGGGTATCCATTGTGAGGAGACCACCATTCTGTGACCTTCAGTCAACAGAAACTTACGCATACTGACAATCTGTCTAACAGTACTTGCAGAAGGATGCGCTAGAAAATCTCTCATTCTTGACATCTGTCTTGAGTAAGCCAGGACATGACAGATTTCTAGGGAAAGAGCCATTAATTATCTTCTCTCTTCTTAAAAGTGAAGGCAAATGCTGCAAGAAAGTAGCCATCATTCAGCGAGAATTATAAAAATTTGATATCTGCTGTTTAGACTGCAGATAGTAGCAAGTACTGGGGTATAAAGTCCTCTATGTAGGCAACAAGTACAAGAGAGCAAAGCTGTATCCTACCACCACTCATTAAAGTTATTTATGGAGGTAGAGCTTGCTTCTGTTCCACAAAGAAGCTTAACAATGTAACCTGCAGTATACTGCAGTCAGCAGACAGCCTTAAGAGTTTCTCCCTAATGTATTAAGGTAGCATAGCAACATTCCAATTTAATTAAGGGTCTGCTAGGAACTTGCAAATTTTATTTTTCCTTCTTAAAGGGCATAAGATCCTCCTTTAAAAATTTTCATTTTACTTTCATTCTGGTGCCTAAGTTGTCAGCAATCTTTTTTTCCTTAAATATAGTACAAATTGCTAAATAACTTTAAAATTATACAGCAGCAAAAAGAGCAGATTTTTTTTTTTTTTCTTTTAATGGTTTGGGGTGCTTTTCTTCTCACTAGGATCCTTCACATTTACACTAAATACAGCTTCATTTTTCAAAATGAAATTTAACAAGCAGTACTTACGAGTAAGAAAGGCACTTACTAGACTAAATTCAATTGCACTTCACTATTCTTATCTCCCAATTTTTACTGAAAGGCAAAGTAAGAACATACTGGGGAGTGAGAAAAATAACTTCATTAGAGACAGCTGACCAGACAACACAGTCACAGCAGACAGTACACCAGAAAGTATGACGCTACTACAGTCCTCTTCATGAAATTCTGTTTTTTGTATTATTGATTCAAGGATTTTGAACACAGATTCGCTATAATTCTCACACGATCTACAAAAAATAATAGCTGACTTAATTTATAGCTTTCTCTTAATTTCACTCCATATACCTTGGACATCAGTTTTATAGGTGGACACAGACTCCAAAGGGATCATTACTAATTAGTTTGGGCATTCCCTCTGTCCTTTCTCACAGATTCTTATATGAACTGTCCCAGGAAGAGGCCTTGTGAAGACCTTCCATCTTACAAACATAGCATGAAGATTGCCTGTAGTATTACAACACAGTCAGGATTTTCTATCTGCTGTCAAAAATCAAATTTACAGACCACATCCCCAGCTTATATAATTCAGTATACCTTCACTGGTACAAGATCTGTCTCACTGCATCCATTTAGCTTATCAAACTCCTCATCTTGAATTTCTATCCAAGTGCTGGTAACAGACAACTGGGGATTAATTGACTTAAACAGTAAAAAAGGATAACCACATATCTTTCTTCGCAGTTAATGAAATACTTGTCTCAAAAAAAGAAGATTAATTTTTAAATATGTACTGATTATTCTTTATATTCATGTAAATATGAATCTACATATTCATATTCTACAGATTCATACACATTAATTATATTCATATAAAAATATCCAATTAATTATTTCTCAAAAATTTTTAACAGCATGGCAAATACATCTACACAACTTTTTACAACTTTTTATGTCTCTGTTGTTTAGAGTGACTACTGGGTTTGTGCTACAAAATATCAACAAAAGGATGTTTCTATGAGGCATAGATGACAGCTCTGAGCAATTCAATGCTTGATAACCATGACAGTATTTTCTCTTGAATAATTATATTAAATCATAGAATCATAGAATTATAGAATCACCAAGGTTGGAAAAGACCTAAAAGATCATCCAGTCCAACCGTTCGCCTATTCCCAATAGCTCCCACTAAACCATGTCCCTCAACACAACATCCAGCCTTTCCTTGAACACCCCCAGGGTCGGTGACTCCACCACCTCCCTGGGCAGTCCATTCCAGTGCCTGACCACCCTTTCTGAAAAGTAATACTTCCTCATGTCCAGCCTGAATCTCCCCTGCCGTAGCTTGAAGCCATTCCCTCTGGTCCTATCACTAATGACACGAGAGAAGAGGCCGACCCCCAGCTCACTACAACCTCCCTTCAGGAAGTTATAGAGAGCAATGAGGTCTCCCCTGAGCCTCCTCTTCTCCAGGCTGAACGTTCCCAGCTCCTTCAGCCTCTCCTCATATGGCCTGTGTTCCAGACCCCTCACCAGCTTTGTTGCCCTTCTTTGAACACGTTCCAGGGCCTCAATATCTTTCTTGCAGTGAGGGGCCCAAAACTGGACACAGTACTCGAGGTGCGGCCTCACTAGTGCTGAATATAGGGGAACAATCACCTCTCTGCTCCTGCTTGCAACGCTGTTTCTGATGCAAGCCAGGATGCCATTGGCCTTCTTGGCCACCTGGGCACACTGTCGGCTCATGTTCAGCCGAGCATCAATCAATACCCCCAGGTCCATTTCCTCTACGCAGTCCTCCAGCCACACCGCCCCAAGCCTGTAGCGTCGCCTGGGGTTGTTGTAGCCGAAGTGCAGGACCCGGATGCGCATGGTATTAAAGTTCCAATTTTTTTTTTACTCCTTTGGTGATGAATTAAGATCTGCCAAAGACATACCATAAAGAACTAATAAATTCAGGATCAATATTCAAAGTTCAAGCCTATTTTTTTTTTTTTGTCTGACAAATATTGTCATCTAGGTAATACTAACTCTGCCTTAAGCTTCCTTTCACAATCAGGTACTAAATGTTCAATTGTTTTGAACTGTAGAAAATAAATGAATCACTTTATCTTCCCTATTTGTCTGGTCAGTTCACTCAAGGATAACTTGTGTCATTTACCAATGAAATGATTAAAAGCATTTCAAAAGGGAAATTGGGATGATTGCTTCTTCGTATTTCTATTACATTGTTGCTTGTCATTTGTCCCTTTGGACAAATGCCATACCGCTTACAAATAGCCCATTCTCTTATGTAATAAGCCAAAATAGAGCCTTTCTGTTTAAATATACAGATGAATCTTAAACACAAGTTAAAAAAGAATACTGGAGAAGATCATAGGCTTCCATTATCTTGAATATATTATCTAAATGAGGCCTGGTCATACTCCAACTGAGTTAGAACCAAGTGTACAAAACTATCAGGACTGTATTAGAAAACAGCATCTGTACTGTTTGACATTTGATTACTTTCTTACTGATACAAAGCCAAATACAAGCTAATAGATTTTATTATTATTATTATTCTGCTATTAAAAGCAGCTGTTTACAAAATTTGGAAATTTTAAAAAGGCTTTGTAAAGAAACTGCACTTCAGAATTACTCTAAAGGTGACTGAAGGTCTGAAATTTATTTTCCAAGATGTATATAAAATAGGAGCTTGCTGTAGTAAATGGCCTTTGCCCGAACAAATAATTCTTTCAGAGATTTCTTTTTTTGTTGTATACTTGCCTACATGCATTATTTGTACCTGTTGTATCTCAGCAATGCTAACAATCAGCTTTCACAGAATCACAGAATGGCCTGGGTTGCATGCGGCACAGGGGTTGAAGATTCATGATCCTTAAGGTCCCTGCCAACCCTGGCTATTCTGTGATTCTGTGAGGTCACGAACTTCACCAGGGCACGGTCATTGCAGCCCAGGCTGCTCCAACCTTAAAGCTGTTAATGACCTCCTTTTTTGTTTTGTAGAGTTGAACATGCTATGAAAAAAGATGAGCACTGTATGTAGCTTTGCAGAGCTTAAGCATAGCATATAGAAACATAAGGAACACTCATGCATGCCTATACATTATTACTTGAGCAACTCTGTGGACAACTGTATAATATTAGATGAAAGGTTTGTTTCATTTTTTCCTCATCAAACACCAAAAAGACTTATGACAAATGAAAGCTTTAATTACTTACTCTATGTCATGAGAACTTTGCTTTAAGACTGAGCTTTGATACAAGCATGAGGGCCTCATGAAAGTAGAGAAAAACTGTATAAAAATGATGTCGATGCTATAGCCCGACTGTTTTTGTAACTAAACATAATAAGAAAAAGAATTTTAAAACCAAAATTGATGTGTGTGATTATCCAACAGTAATAAAAATTAAAATTTATACTGTTCAGATAAGGTGCAGCGAAAAAGATTTAGCAAAAAAGTACATGTAAATTCACTTTTTTTTTTTTTAATTTTATGTTAAAATGGTGTTTGGTTTTTTTTCAAACCAAATATACACTGTTAAACTATAGATCTGTAGCTAACATCTGAAGTGAAAATGTACTGAAGTATCTCTGACTAGATTATTACGGGAAAGTATTTCTGATGGCAGGAGAATTTGACCCCTAATTAAATTTCCAAGTTTTGGATAAATTCAGGAGAAATGGATGCTAAAAGTCCGTCTTTTCAGACAAAGAACATAATAAACTTATACATTCACAGTAACTAAAAGGAAATCTAAAAGCATAGTCTAGGTAACATATATATAGATCTTAGAATTCTTTAGAACTCAGGGCAATGGTGGTACAGGAGTGAATTAGAGACTGAAAATATAAAATAGGTACCTCACATACTGACCTGTGAGCCAAGATCATTCCCATATTCCTAATGCTTCACTCAGTGTTTTCAACCAATATATAATGATGCCATATGAACTGCTGGTGTTGTGATGCAGATGCAGTATGGCTATAACGAGGGACAGGAAAAGGCATGTAGGTTAGCATTAATCAAATAAACAGGTTTCTCTTCTCTTGCTCAAAACAAGTATGACCCTGATCTTCAAAATACAGTATGAAGTGAATGATTGGTCAGCCAAGTCACCTTGTAGTCTCTGCTTCCCATCCAGGTGATTGGAGGATAACCACTTTCAGGACAAATGAAATATAACTCAAGTTTGTACTTATAACTAAGATTGTACTTATAAAATACGTCTTCCCAATACAATTAAAACATCATCATACACTTTCTGCAAGCTGGACACAGCAGTGAATTTGTATGTCCAACTAGAATTAAAACTTGTCTTCTGTAGCAGTTTACAGGTTGTCCTGTAAACTGTTGTTTATTTCAGGTTGTCCAAAGAAGCTGTGGATGCCCAATCCCTGGAGGCATTCAAAGCCATGTTGAATGGGGCCCTGGGCAGTCTGATCTGGTGGGGGCAACCCTGCTCAAGGAAAGAGAGTTGAAACTAGATGATCTTAAAGATCCCTTCTAATCCAAGACATTCTGTGAATCTATGATTCTACAATTTTATGATTGTAAGACTCTATGATTTTATTTACCCTATTTCCATCTACAGGGAACCTGAATGGTATATGCTGCATTTGCGATTAGCTTCAGCTCTTACATGAAGAAGATATTCCTATAGCACAACTGACCAAGTTATTCCTGCAATACACGTAGCAGAAGTTTTGTTGCAATACTAAAGGTTATAAACTTACATCCTGCTGCTGAAAGATGCTGGGGGATATTACGTGGCCAGATCTGACGCTGATTTGATCTTGAAAATCAGCAGAGTAGCTTCCTGTCTCAAGATCATAGAGCTACATAGTCTTTTTTTCTAAAGGGTCAGAGTGAGATTGAAAAAAAAAACCAAAAAAACTAATCTCAGTTAATCGCTACAGCCATATCTGGTTCACTAGAGCCACTGACTCATGTGGTATGAAAAAGCAATAAATAAAAAGGTTGCATCCCTGCAAACTAAACTTGTAAAATGCCCTTTTGTAATTATGAATGAAATAGAAACACTTATTTGCTGTTGATTATTCCTTTGATCACCTGATACGTCTGTAATTTAAGTTGAAGACAGTGATAAAATACATAGGGTTTGCTGTAGAAAATTAATTTTGATTGAATTAGAAGCCATATTTTCTTTTTAAGTTGTCTTCTTAGTATATATTTTTATTCTTGATTTTTGCTTTTTATTATTATTTTTAATTCATCTCCTCTCCTACTCCAGAAACTCTGCCAATAGAGTTTACTGAACAATAGCCTGTTATGCAATGCATTGAAATGTACACAGTGGCTTTGATGATAATAAACTCTTCAGAAGCCTGGAAATACTTTTTGCACAGCCTGGGGACAGAAATCTAAAGAATTTTATTCCTATAGGCCTTACAAGGGAATTTTAACCATCCTACAAGATAACTCCAAATAACTATCTAAAAGAAATAATTTTTAATTAGGTTCTATGGAAGAAATGATTTCCCCAGTAAAACCATTAGAAGGACACTTTATTTTCATAACGGTTTCATAGAAATGCAGTTCTATTCAGTTTCTACAAGATCCCTATCCTTCTAATCTCTGTTAAGAGTTATATCCAGACTCTCTCCCACTCACATATATTTTCTCATGTATCATAACACATAAGATTACACATAGATTTTTGGTGATGGAAAGGACTGAGGCCAGCATACTTCATCATGATCAAATCTTCCATTCCTAAAGCAGGAACAAGGTATTTACCTAGTTTTGAAGATATGATACAGTTACTTTTTGTGACTTATTGCATTATCTGTTGTAATTTTCATGGAGTTTTCAAAGCCACCTTACATTGAGTTTAGGTGAAGAACATATAGAGCACCTATTTCTAAGTTAGAATAGAATAAATCATATTATGATTTCCTCTATTTCTAATTTGGTCTTTTTGCTTTTTAATTCTTACTAGTGCTGCAGAAACATGAAAAATTATGGAGCTGAGAAAGCACAAAATTATCTTGTGCAACGGAAATTTACACAGAGGGTCTGAAATCATTACCAATCCTTTGAGAGTCCTGGGAGACTAGAATTCAACAACTTGAATAGTGTTCCATGCAAAAGAAACAACTGCTTCTGGGGAGAGGTAACGAAATGGGAAGATGAGTGTCTTTGTTAACATTTTCTATTTCATAGAACAATCATGCCTTAAAGCTGCTAGGACCAGCCCTTTGGATGTTTGTTTCAAACAAATAATGACATTTACAAATGCTGTTTCTTCTTGCCAAAGACGTGAGGTCAACTAACTATCTATTCTATTAGTTGAGATGTGAATACACATACGTATAAACATACGAGTCATACGTATATCTCAAACACATATGCTTAAAATAGAAGTAGAATGTAGAACTAAGGTCTCAAAAGAGGAAATTAACTCACCGTAACCTAGTCTTGTTTGAGGGTAGTCACATGATACATTAATTTGAAATCTAATTACGCTCTACTGTTAAGCACAAATGCAGGGAACTACATGTTCCCAAGGAGATATTTCAAAGAGTTTTCCTCCATGGAATGTCTGCAATACCTATTTTTGAATCAAGGATCCAAGATTTTGCCTCCACTGAAATGAAGCTAATATCTGCACAATGAACCAAAAGAGCATTCTCCTAATTAGTGGTGTCTGTATTTAGCCAGACACAAATGAGAGATTTCCATTCCAGTCCCCAGAATCAATCAAAATCTCCTCCAAGTGCATCTTCTGGAATTGACAAATATATGTTCCCATGTGATTGAAAAATCCACATTTTTCAAGCTAGCTCAATGTTTTCATTACGTTAACGGATGAAATTTTTGAGTCCTAGTTCATCCTTTGGGCAGAACAGAGTTGGAAAATGAGTCTACCAACAAAGAAATAAAGATCTTCATAATAATAATAATAAATCCAACAACAAATGAATCAGAAAATCTTTCTCCAATGAAGACCCGAGAGCTTGTTAGTCCTTGCTACACCATTGGTATCTCTATGTCCACAAGGTAATAGAGGTTCTAGATTTTACCTTTCATTTGAAATGGCATCCAGTAGCCTATCAAAAATGAACAGATTACTGGGGCTGGGATTCAGCATGCATTGAAACATTCTGAACCACTGCATGATCAAAAATTCAAATCTCTTTCTGACCTGTGATTTCGGTCCTTCTGAGATTCTGAAAATCAAATGAAATTCACCGTAGAGAACATTTTAGTCTTATTATCACTAGCAAACAGTTTAAGAAAAAATATCACAGGCAATAACAACAAATATAATTATTTTTAAAATTGCATGATGACTAGAACATGGAAACCACAATCAGTATTCTAAGACCATCTGTAGGATGGACAGTGCTTTTATAACCCATTAAAGCTATCTTAATCGGTACATCACTATCGGTTCCACTGTTTCAACAAATTGGTGCTTCAGAGGAGCTTTATCTGAACACACTGTGCTCCATACCAGCGGTCCTGCAATCAGTAATAAAACATAATGAAACAATGTTAACAGCACAGTGTGCTAGTTTGAACAGCATGTAATTCAATAAGTTTTGGTATCTTGGCCAAGGCAATTCTAACCTGCCTGTAGATTTAGATAGAAAGATAGAAAAGACATTTTCCAGCAAGTCTGAATTGCACATGTACTCTCTCTGACCATGTTTTTTCCTAGACCTGAATTGTTCTGCAGTTCCACTACAGACACAGAAGGGACTGATGCCTCTATAGCCTGTTAAAGAAGTAACTGTGCTTTCGATTCATAGGCCAGCAGAAAAGGTAAACTAAATCTTTTGCTTCTGCCACATCCAATTCCCAAGTTACACTGTTAGGTACTTTCAGCTTCATTTGAAACATCAAGTATGGGTCATTGCTTCAAGCAAGATGCTGGATGTCATGGGTTTTGCAACCTTATCCAATAAGCTGAAACCTCTACTTGTACACAGCAGATTGCTAGATCTCTATTTAAGCACAGCTGCTGCCTTAGCAATTGCACCCTGTGCAGTAGTGTGTCTGCTGAGGGGGATTCATGGCATGCACTGCAGGCAAGGGGGCAGAACACCAGGGTATGGAAACTGTGTAGTACTAGAAGTCACCCCTGGGTTGTACTACAGAAGAAAATGAGAGAGGAAGGGAGGGAGCTGATGACAGCCCACATACTGGATGATCGGTTTCTTTCTGAAATGAGGAAAGTAAAACAACACTCAGCAGTGATGAAAAGAAGTAAAAGAGCACCCCTGAACTATCACTTCTCTCAGTGTTGCAGAGGCTGGCTCCATGCCCAAGGCAAAATTACATCCAAACTCTCACAAGCAGCTGAGTGAGAAACACTGGAGTGTGCAAAGACTAAGTTGAAGTTCCCATTTCTATTTGAAGCTAAAAGCAGCTGAAGATCCTAACCTCAGGATTTGGCCTAAATATTATAAATATATATTCTTTGCAGTCTTGCACAGCCTAATGCAGTATTTTCCAGCAATGCAGAAGTGCCCCTATAGAAAACTTAAAACCTTTATTCAAATAAGCTACAGCTCAGAAACAGTTCCCCAGTTCCTCAAATCAGTGCTTCCGTAACAGTAGGGAACCTCTGAGTACTGACACCCTTCCCCCCCCCAAAAAAAAAAACAGCTGGTCTCTGATCTGGTCTCTGAGCAGTGTGAGGTAACACCAATACTAGCAGTCATGGAATCATAGAATCACTAAGGTTGGTGAAGACTTCCAAGATCATCCAGTCCAAACATACACCTGTCAACAGTACTTCCCCATTAAACCACATCCCTTAGTACAACACCAGAGCATTTCTTGCATGTTTCCAGGGATGGTGACTCAACCACCTCAGGCAGCCCATTCCAATGCCTGACCACACTTTCAGAAACATTTTTCCCAATATCCAACCTGAATATCCTCTGGAGCAACTTAAAGCCACCACTTCTTGTCCTGTCACTAGTTACACAGAAGAAGAGGCCAACCTCCAC